AGATAGATAGATAGATGATAGATAGATAGATAGATAGATAGATAGATAGATAGATAGATAGATAGATAGATAGATAGATAGATAGATAGATAGATAGTCAGATAATTGATTGAGATAGATGATAGATAGATAGATAAATGATAGATAGATAGATAGATAGATAGATAGATAGATAGATAGATAGATAGATGATTGATTGAGACAGACAAACAGACAGAATGGAAAAGAAGGAAGAGAAGGGCAGTGCTTTCGATTTGCTATCCTCAGACTTGAGTTCCCAGCAAGTATGACTTCTGGCCACATAGAAAACCCCAAAGGCTCAGTGGGACTAAGGGAGGGGGAAACATGTTCATTCTTGCTTACCTGAGGAACTTGTTAAGGTCTCCATGCTTCATGTATTCAAAGACCATGATGAGTGGGTCCCCATCACCACACACCCCATAGAACTTGACAATATGTTCATGCTGCAGGTTAGTGAGCAGCTCAGCCTCCCTCTGGAAATCCTTCCTGGCAGCCAAGGTGGGATCCTTCAGGGCCTGAGAACCATACAACATCAGTTCTTAGCAACCAGAGAACAGAGAGCCATCTTTTCCAGCTGGTGAAACCTGTTACCACATCCTTCTGGACCACAATGAATACAGTCTATTTTAAAACATAAAGGCGAAGCACACTGTTGAAGCCCTTTTCATTCAGTATTTTGATTCATATCAAAGAAGAACCCCATATCCCAGGCTCTGGCCAGTGACTTCAACCCATGCTTATCATCCATCCGCAAGCTTCCCTCAATATTAATGGCAGGGAACAAAGCTATGAGATGGAAGACTTGGAAGACCCCTGTTCATAAAGTTCCCTTTAAAGAACAACTCCCTCTGGTATAGTAAACTGAACGGCACCACCCCAATTGCTTTATCTTTGTAAATCACTACACACTCTAGAAGTCAGGCAATGCCCCGATGCTATCTTTTGGAGTCCTTGTGTCTTAATGGTGAAATAGGCTGCACTGACAGAGGAGAGGTAGCACTTGGTTAGTCACCAACCAAAGGTTTAGTAGAAGCTCTGGGGGAAGATAGGGCTGCAGTTGACAGATGGAAGCCTTAGATGCACACAGGACCAGGTCAACAGCGACTAAGTCTCAGTGCAGGATGAGGTGGTAGGCCCATGGGAGCAACTCTACCAAGATGCTGTGACTCTGCCCCACAGGGATTGTAAGCCCAAGTGTGACCCAGAGGGAAGACCTCTGGGACAGACCTCACCATTCTTATTCTATAAAGACTAATACAGCAAAAAGAGTATACAATACCAAGGTGGGGTTTTCAGCATCAGAAGGGGAGTGTGATACCAAAACTAAAGATATCTAGTACATACAAGAGACAGGGAGCAGAGTACTACTGTGATAGTTGTCCTGGTTGTCAACTTGACACATCCAGGAAGAAGGGGACAATTCAAGAATCACTTCTATCAGATTGGCCTGTGGGTGTGTCTGTGTGGCATTTTTCTTAATTATTGATTGATGCTGGAAGGTCCAACCCACTGTGGGTGATGTCATCCCTCGGCAGCTGGTTTTGTAAGGAAAATAACTGCATATGAGCTTAGGAGCAAGCCAGTGAGCATCCTCCTCCATGGTCTCTGCTTCAAGCTCTTGCCTTGAAGTTGAGTTCTTGCCCTGGCTTCCATGATTGACTGTCATTGGTAAGATGAATTAAAGCCTTTCCTTTACACATTGCTTCTGTTCATGGTGCTTATGACAACTATAAAAAAAAACAGTCTGGAACAGCCATCCTAAGGATGGGCAATATTGTCCAAAATGAAGGATGGTATGTTCAAAGTAAAGACCATCTATGCTAGAGGAGAAGCCTATGCAGGTATGCCTACACATTTCTGAACCTCCCATAATTGCCTTAAGGTCACAAGGCAAATGCACCAAGCCATGAGCACTAGGTAATCAAGAAGTAAGGATAAAACCAGCCAGCTAATCTCAGGTCATTGAGACTCTAAAGTGACTAGAGACTAGCTTGAACTCTCTGCTCCATATCTGGCCTTTCCTGGTGCTTCAGACAAAATGGCCTGCCATGGAAGTGCCACAAGGCCTTCCTAGCCAGAGCTCTTCCTCTATCTGCTGTAGCCCTCAGGGTTGAAATCTGACAGGTTTTTTTTTTTTTTTTTTTTTTTTTTTATTCTCAAACTGCAGTGGCATGAACCTGCAAAGGATGTGCCGAGTATGCTTCTCCAGCCTCTCAGGAACCAGCACAAATCAGGGATGATGGATGCTTAGCATGAAAAAGCTGTCCACCACTTTAGTTCCCCCACTGCACATTTCTGTAGCTGGAGAAACTGAAGCCGAGCCTGTTTGAGAACTGGCCCATGTTCACACAGTGGACATGATGGGAAGCATAGTAGACCTGAGCAATCCTTTGCTGGGATTCACAGTACCCCAGATGTCAGGAGCAGGGCCTACAGGGCCATCCAAACAAGTGTGGCTTCCTTACCTGAAGCCCCACCCCAATTTCAACCAGCATCACCTTCCCTTCTTAGCAAAATGTAAAAGATTTCAACAGAAAAGTTTTCAATTAAATGGCTGACTGACAAAAACACTGAAAGTTACTTTTACCAGACCTAATTCTTTTTTTTTTTCCTTTTGGACAGGGTTTTGTGCCACACAGGTGAGAATGACCCTGAATTTCTGCTTCCACCTCAGAAGTCCTAAGATTGCAACCATGCTCCACCATGTGTGGGCTTATGCACTGCTGAGGGTCAAACCCAAGGCATTGTGTATGCTAGACAAGAATCCTGCCAACTCAGCCACAACTTCTACTCCCAACACCTATAACTCGATGTGATGACTGCTTCAGCTCTGGGGGAGACCCATGAATATCTGGAATGGCCACCTGATAGCAGAACAAAGACTTGCCAGCCAATGTGTCATGGGGAAAATAACCTTTTCTGGTGACCCACCTCCATGCCACAGCCCTGAGCTACAAGGGATAAAACATGGGCACAAGATGACCGAGTATGACTCATTTATTTTCATGAGGAAGAGGCGGGGGAAAAAAACAACAGAGAAACCCAGCAAGGGTGGGATGGGAGAGTATGAGGATTTATGTGAACACTGGATTTATGGGAGAGAAAAGTAGATCAGATTTGGGGGCAGCCAAATGGCCTCTCTCCATCTCTTTAAATCATTCTCTCCCACAGCCCCGACATCAGTGGCAGCCATGGGATATTTCTGCTCTCAGCCCTTGAGCAGTAGCAGCCCAGGGTCTGTCCCTCAGGCTGGCACCCTGAACTGCAAGACAGACAGAGTTCCTCCTGAGAGATGGAGCACAATGCAGCTGCTGTTTCCACGGCTTCCACACCCTTTCCCTCTTCCTTCACACTGGGTTTTCCAGCTGGTGGGTCAAACCTGAAGTTCCTATGTAACTGTCAAAGTGAGGGGTGTAGCAACTGGGGGCCAGAACTGTCAGTGGCCACAGTCCCCAGGGATTAATGCAATTGGGACAGAGATGACAGGAGAATAATGGGGAGGGAAACTGGGCCAAAAGCTCTCTGGCCCCACTCATGGGATTTTATATCCAATACTTCCTTGGTTGCTGGGCAACTGCAAAATGGGTCACCATGAAGTGGCATGGGACAGAGTTGATGCTTATCATAGTCACCAGCCGTTGGCACAAGGAAGAGGGTCTTGCCATGGAGCCTGAAGTTGGGGACATTCCTGGCTGGGTGCTTTGTATCATAAGCACAGGCAATGAGAACTGGAAACTAATTCCTTGTCTTCTTTTCCCTTCTGGTGGAAGGGACATTTCCCTTGAGGTCTTGTTCTCCACATGCACCAGCTCCTATGAGAACTCCAGCCCTGAGCAAGGATTTGAGCCGGGCTGTTCACTAGGACAAGGTAAGGCAGAAACAGATGTGCTCAGCAGCCCAAACCCTTCCCAGACAGCTGACATCTTCACGTTGGTCAACAGCTAACTTGCATTTGCCTTTTCTCTGGTGGGGAGAAGCTGCTTCAGGGAATGTTATCTTTGAGATTTCATTAATATCCGGAAGCCCATTTTATCATGCACACAGGAATACGCACACTCCTAGGTGTCCAAGCATACACTCACAGGCATATACATCCAACCAACTAGTTTTAATTGTGAAAATCATTTTATTTTAGTCTCTCAAACACCTCTTGTCACTTCCCCTTGTTGAGATTCACAGAGTGACAGGGGACAAAGATGGGTGGTCACCGCATGAACAGATGCCCCTTTCTCGTATGTCGCTCGTTTCCCATTGTCTTCGGCATGAAATCCCAACTTCTTCACAGTCATGGACTGAAGATGTCAGCCAGACCCGTCTTTTTCCACTTCCTCGTCCCAACTCCATGTCCCCCTCATTAATTGTGCTTCAATCTCACTAGCCCTTCTGTACCCTTGAGCTTTTATTTGCCTCAGGACCTTTTCACTGGATGTCCTCTTGGTCATAAAGACTTCCAACAGAGCTGTAGAGATGTAATTAGGCCACTGACTTGGTACTGCCCATCAACTCTGCAGAGCATACTGACTGGTGCCCTGCGACCCTGAACCCTCAACTCTGGTCTCCTATAGAGATGCTTATGTCTCCAAGAGGTGTTTACTAGGAATTGACTATGATTACCCACAAATTTATTCATGAGAGTTAAACTTGATCATGTGATCGCTTAATACAATGAAATATCATAAAAAACAAGTAAGTGTGAGTGGGAAGCAGGCAGTTTCCATAGAGCCCATGGTGATGAACACTTTGCAAAGATGTGCTAAAGGTAAATGACTAAAACCAATTAGCAGTGGAAGAAAAATCATCTGGAAAATTGAGAAAACAGTAAAAAGCAGAGATTTTTAAAAAGCCCCTTTCCAAGCATGGAAGGAAGAGCAGCAGTGAGACCATGAGGAATCAGGATCTAGTTCTACCAATAATTTACCAAGTGTCCTGTGGCTGCCTGACAGTGCCAAGACTATCACATGTGTCACCTAAAATGAAATGCAAGTCAGTTCTAAACAAAAGAGTTAAGTATTAGTGGACTACTTTACAAACACTGCTACAGTTTTTAAGATCACTGCTTTGGGTAAGGTTTTGTTTGAGTTCCCTCTTGTCTTTATTTCTAAGATTGTATTTTAATTAAAACCTTTCTCCCTTCCCTTTCTTCCCCCCAAACCCTCCCATATACCCTTCTCCACACTCCTTCAAATCCTGGCCTCTTTTTCATCAACTGCTAGTGTGTGTGTGTGTGTGTGTGTGTGTGTGTGTGTGTGTGTGTGTGTGTGTGTACACCTACATATCCCCAAATGTAACTTATTGATTTCATACTATGTTACTTGTCTGTATGTTTTTAGGGCTGACCGTTTGGCTCTTCTCTGAGGAAGACCACCTCTTCTGCTCCCATCTTTCCTCAGTTGCTGTAGTTCCTTAAGATCACTCCTTTTTACTGAAGGTGTATTGACTAATGCTAAGTGTGCTCTTCATGCTCTACTGGTGCTGGGCAATGTCAGGGGCATTTTTGTTTGTTACAATGGGGGCTGGCACCTACTGGACAGAGACCAAAATAGGCTGCTAAACACTATACAAGGAAATCAAGAGCTCTTACCAACACTGAATTATCCCATTCTACCAATAGTATGAACGTTGAGACAACCTGTGTTAAACTTTGTAAATGACAAATAAAATTACATTTACCCCCCACCACCACCACCCTAAAACCCTGATATTCTCTCCTCAGAATGTTTCACAGATGCTTCCAGTTCTTGCTCCAATTTAAATCACTATAACTGGGAGTCAGGAGCACTCCACACAGATCAAAACAAGCCTCCAATCCCAGAGAAATCCAAATACCGAGGCTCAGATGTATTAAAAGAAATATCATGTTAAATCCAAGTTGTGAAAACTGTCAAAACAGGAACTTGAATTGCTGCAGACCAGACCCATATTTATTTTGAAATAAGGACATTTTCCAAGAAAATGAAGAAATAATTGCTTCTTATGAAAACAACAATATATAGGCCAGCAGGATGGCTCAGAGGGAAAAAGCACTTGTCATCAAGCCTGAAGATATGGATTGAGTCCCATGGACTAATGTGGTAGAAGAGAATCAACTCCTGAAAGCTGTCCTCTGGCTTCCACACATTCAGGTACTGTGTATACACACATGGCAAACAGACATGCAAATAAACAAAGTGTATGGTCAGTATACATGTATGTTAGGCATGGTAATGCATACCTATAATCCTAGCACTTGGGAGGCAGAGGCAGGAGGATTACCACAAGTCTGAGATTAGGCTAGGCTACATAGAAGAATGCAGGTCAGCTAGGGTTACATAGTAGAATCCCATCTCAAAAGGGGAAAAAGAAAAAAAAGAAAAACCACCAATATAGACAAAAAAACAAAGATAAATAAGACAGAAAGCTAAAAGAACAAAAATTAGGAACAATTGGATGTCTTGGAAATAAACCACATGGTCACTAAGGTTAAAAAAATACTCCACAGACAGAAAAATTAAACAGATTAAAGTACAGGAATGCACTGTGTACTGGAAGAGCATCGAGGACCTCTCAGGACAGAACACAGTGTGACAGAGAAAGGGAAAATTTATATATGTGTGTGTGTGTGTGTGTGTGTGTGTGTGTGTGTGTGTACACATGTATATGTATACATACATATTTACATAGATGTGTGTATATATATTGCACATATAATATATATAAAATACGAAAGTGTCTCCCATGTGCCAAACAAGAAGTTTGCTTGGGTGCCAATGCTGTGTGCATGGACTGGGTATTAAACAACTATTTAAAAGTGACGTCACCAGTTTGAAACTATGAATTGTATTACATATAATCCCTGACATCTGATGGTGAGAAGAAAATACATTCAGTAGAAATCTGACATTGAGCTTAGAATTTTGACTTTTCCCTAGGCTGCTGAATGTGATTCGGTTCTCTCGTAAGATAGAGGATGGCAGCAGTGAGCTATAGTTTCCTGTCCACTATGGGATAACCAAGAAGACAAGCATTGCTCTTTAACATAATGCATGGCTAGGAGATGATGAATGACTATTTGCTTGCTTGCTTATCTATTTATTTATTTGTTTGTTTGTTTGTTTGTTTCCAGGCAAAATCTCACTACGTAGCCCAGGCTAGAATCAAATTCCTAATCCTCTTAAATCAGCCTCTTCAGTACTGGGATTATAGGCCTGTGCTACCTACCACAAATAGCTCTGCCTAAATATATTTGCAATTTATGGTGAGTATTGAGAAGTTGTCCCCCTGCAGGCCTAGGAGCATCTGGAGTTGAATGTCTTGCATATACACAGACTATGCTCTCTCTTATCCTGTCTTCCATGTATTTTGTAGGTGTTTGCTTGGCTTCCCAGCAGACTGCAAGCACCTTAAAAAACAGGCTGTGTTTGCCATACCCTTGTATATATTTGTATATATATTAACTGCTGGGCAAAAAAAAAAAAAAAAAAAAAAAAAAAAAAACAAAACTTACCAACAGATTGAAAGCCCACACCCAATTTTGAGGAAACCTAATCTTGGTCTATGCTTGCCAGTGTCCCCCACAAGTACAGAATTGCCCTGCAGCAACATGAGAACACAAGGGAAAGGCTTGCCAAGGATGAGACTACAGAGAGGACAGAGAGCAGGGAACTCCCACTCCTGGGTGGTCTTGGAGAACATGAGACTCTTCTGAGGGCTGCAGGCTAGGCTAGGCAGCTCCATTGCTTGACAAATGGTGTCAAATTCCAGAGCACTCATGAGCTTCCCCGACCCATGGGGAGAAGGAGACCCTTTGGAAAGGATGCAACCAGAAACACATTGTTTCTGCATCACGCATTCTGGCAAGTGCCTCTCTGTGCCAGACACTCTACAAACCTGCCTGAGACCCCTGGCTCTCAGTCACTGCTTTACCTCCTGTTGAAAATTCCCAATCTGGTTCCTTTGCTACTTCCCAGACAGACACTGGGAGAGCCAGTTGATGAGTGTCATTCTACCCGTTAAACGTAACAGAGCAGGGCAGACACAGAGGTTAAGGACAGAATTAGAAACCTCTTCTTCAGCCTTGTCCAAGACATTCAAGTTCATTCCAAGAATGTACAGTAACAATAATCATCAGCCCTGCATAGAGCAATGGTCTAAGGTAGTTATTTTCAAAACAGAGATCAGCTATTGATGCTTGTTTTTGTAAAATATCTGTCTTGGAAAACAGCCACTCATGCTAGTTCATGTGATGTCTGTGCTGCTTCCCGCTGCACAGGAAGGGCTGAGAGATGCAGCAGTACACAGCCTCCAACACTGCAATATTCAGATTTAGTCTCTGGTCCTTTAAAGGAAAAAAATGTTGGCAAGCTTTATAGTAAATAAAAGCTTGGTGGGTCATACATGATGTGCCTAAATACATTGGTGTTGTCAGCATCAGGAATAAATAGTTATTTTTTTAAAAAAACCTATTACTGCTCTTTGTTGAGCATTTACTTAGTCATCAGCATTTGGTGGAGATATTATTACTCCTATCATTCAGAGTGGAAAATTAAAGTCCACCTTATGTTCTGCCCAAGGCCATGTAGTTGATCAGTGAAGGATTTGGGATTTGTATCCAAGCTCTCACTCTGACACCCACGCCAGATGGTACTCTGAACTACACTGTCTGTATCTGTCAGATGGTTCACCCTCTGTGGCCAGAGATAACCTACAGATAAACACCAATGACTGTAGATGCAGAAACCCAAAAGTCAAAGAAGCATAAATTGCCTTCATGATGGAGTTTCTATCAGGCTTATTTAGCACTAAAGATGGGGTCATTCTGAGGTCCCAATGAGTGTCTTTCTCTCTGGCCATGTCTCTCATTCCCATCTCTATGGTCATCTGTCATTCTGGAACAGCATCCAAACTCCACTATGGCCTCAGAACATGTTGAGCATATGAAAGGAGGCCACTTCATTCTCCTGACTCTATAGTATGGCTCCAAGCCTCAGGGAGTCTACCTGACCACTTGTTTGGTGAACATATCAAGACCTGTCAAGCACTAATCTACAGAGAGAAGGCCTTCTGCTGAACCAGGCTGGAGGAGGGCAATGGTGGGAACAAAGCTCCTTCCACACTTCTCCGGCAATCCATCTGCAGCTGCAAACCTGCCTGGAGCCCAGTGGCACACAGTCCTGGGCTAAAGGTCCCTCTGTAACTGAAGTTGCCCTCTGCATGTATTCTTGAGGCCTGCACTCAGATGTCATAACAGGAATTTTAGAATGTATCCCGCCCCACACCTCACCCACACAAGTTCCAGGTGCTAATTCTGTGACCACCCCAACCCTATCTCCCTCTAAACCCTGTGATGTCTTAGTACCTTTGAAATGGGACTCCTCTAACTCATCAGACAACCCCTTCCATCCAGCTCTGCTCCAGACACCTGGCCAAATGTCTGTCTAGGGCAAATGGCATATGATCACTCACTGAAGAGAGTGACCCAAAGATCCTCATTCAGTCAGAGCCTTCCACAGGCAGAAGTTGTCCCCAGGCATAGCCCCATTACATATTGCAGTTCTAAAACCAAAGTCATGTTTGGTCTATTGGAAGCTTCACTGACTCTGGACCAAGGGTCCCTAATGGGGTCTGAGACCAGTTCAACACCGCCTTCTCCATGGCCCTCCACCTCACAGGACCACCACTGGCCCTGCCCTGCTTGCCCATGTGCTCCAGGATTTACCTTCACGGCCACGAGCATCTTGTCTTTGGTGGGGCTTAGATTGTAACACTCAGCCAGGAAGACCTTTCCAAAAGCTCCCTCACCCAGTTCTCTCTTCAACACGATGTCTCTCCTCTTGATGTGCTGGACATCTGTAGAAGCATCACAAAGGGGACAGACAGTCAGGCTCTGTCATCCATCAGGACAACAGGAATCTCGAGTGCTTCTGAGTCCACAGTGGGTAGAGCCAAATGTTCACATCCCAGTTTGGGCATAGAGATTGTCATTTCTTTATGGGTGAAGTCTGACATGGAATTAAACCATGGCTTTCTGCTAGACTGGCTGCTGACTACTCTACACAGCTTTCTGAGATGAGGACCAAAGCTAATGGACATGAGTCAGTGATGTTACTGAATGCAGGCTGCTTCCACCTCCTGTGATACTGCACATGAACTGGGGCGCCTTGGCAAGACAGAGGTTCTGATTCAGTGGGCCAGAGAATCTGCATCCCTAGCAAGTCCCCAAGTGATGCCAGTAAGCTGCTGGCAGCTCTTTAAACACCAAGGTTGCCAGGATGGTGTTGAGAATCAGATGTGAATCCTGACTCCTTGTCATCCTTTCTGCTTTCAGTTTGGGAAGGCTATTTAATCCCAGTGACTACAATTCCTCATTTGTAAAATGGGATTAACAAGAATACCTCTCTCACTGAAGCCTTGTGAAGAAATGAGATAATTCAGATTAAGAGGTTGGCTTAGTGCCTGGGAGAAACTTAGAAACATGTGCTCAATACACACACACACACACACACACACACACACACACACACACACACACAGATGTGTACACACATACAAATACACACATACACACAAATATATGTACACCCACACATATGAACATACACACATACACATAGCCACATATACACACAGGTATATGCACATACACATGCACACCCACACATACAAACACACACAAACATACATACACATATATGTACATACATGTATATACTCACATGCACAGATACACACATGCATATACACATGTACAAACACACACACACATACATACATATGCACACATACACACCTACACACCCACAGCCCAACAGCACATTGTTCAGGATAGAAAACACTCATAGGTAGCTAAAATTATTTCAGAAAAATCTCTAGTTGGCCAGTACTGCTCCTCCGAGAGAAAGTAAACCAATGAGATCACAAATGGCAACTTCAAAGACAGCCTTAGAACTGGGGTCTGTGCAAAGGAAGAGTTGCCAGTGGTTCTGCTAATTTAGCAACATAATTAAAGTGTGTCTGCCAGGAGAGAGCAGAGCCGTGACCTCGGCCCTCCCACCTCTTTGGAAAGAATGCTACCAAGGAATTGTCCAGGCAGGGGGCTGGTGATGAAAGGAGTGAGGTGGAGATTACTCGCCGACCTTTGCATGAATTGTTCAATAGGTAAAGCCCATTAAATACCTGTATCAACATTATGAAGCACGTCACCAAGCCCGCAAAGAAGATCCTCTCCAGTGACCTTGTCGAACAGTGAAAGCTGAAGGTGGAAGAACCGTGGCAGGCTGCCCCCACAGTGAGGAGCCACGTGACAGCGGCAGGAGCATGGCTCAAAAGCTCGGCCCAGTGCCTTGGTAGGCTTGGGTACTGCTTTTCCCTATCAGAGTTCAATATTTCATGGGGTCTACAGTGGCCCACCCCTGTTTCCTTTCTCCTTACAGGCAGTCTTCAACAACAGATGGACGAAAATAGTTTCCTCTGCTGGAGAGACGGCTCAGCTACTCAAAGTTCTTCCTTGCTCTGCCTCCCTGTCTATATCTTGTAGCCTCTGAAGACTGGTATATTTTTGGCCTGGGGGGGGAGTAAGGCTAAAAAGTATCACTGGGGAAAAATGGGAAGTCAAGGTTTCTCTTGGGAAGTCCTCTTCTCACCACTGCCTGGGCATCCCCAGGTGACTAGTGATGACACACGGAGCCCTGCAAGGCTAGGGAGTGAAGATGTGTCCTGGTTAGACAGCTCTCCAGCCTGGGGCCAGGTCTCACATTCCTCATCTATAAAATGGGTCTATTCCTGCAGCTGGATGTTTAAGTCTATAAACTTTTGTATTGTGGAATTCTGTCCTCTGTGGAGCACATGACTATTGTGATCCTGAAATCACCATGACTGTGACTCATAACATCAGCCTATTGGGCTAAGGAGACATCTCAGTGAATAAAGCGCTCGCTGGGCAAGCCAGGCCAGTTGTGGTAGCTGTATACTTCATCTTAAGTTCCTGTGATGAGACTGGCAGCAGACAGAGTATCCCTAGAAGCCTGTGGGCAAATCATCCTGGTATATGAAATAGCAAAACAAGAGGCCTGTTCTCAAACAAAGAAAGTAGGGACCAAGACCAAGACTGTCCACTGACCTATACACATACACTGTTACACAAGCATATGCCCCACATACACACTCATATCATGTGCACATGTATATGCATGCACAGATAGGGGGGAAGGAGGGAGGGAGAGAGAAAGAGAGAGAGAGAGAGAGAGAGAAAGAGAGAGAGAGAGAGAGAGAGAGAGAGAGAGAGAGCAGCCTTATTATTATACCCTTATAGAGGGGTTGGGGATATCGTCAGACTCTCACCTGAGATTTCAGCCATTCCCTCCTCTCTGCTCCTACTCTAGCCACACATAATCCTTGCAGCTCCACATGGTCATCAAAGGTGCTAATGTGTATAGCATGCAGTAGGCTACCTGAGAGAGAACTCCGTTGATACGGTTTTTGACTCATGCTGAGGTAGGAGTTTTCAGTGATACAGCTGGTTTTGAGTCATTCATATTCCTGTAACTCTGATAGTCATTTGTTTGCCAAGTTGGATTCAGTGTGTTATCTTTATCCTACCTTAGGTGAACAGATGTTTGTTGGTCCATCTCTCTCCAGGAAAGTAATACAATAAATGAATTTTAAATTGTAAATAAGGTAAAATATCATTTTCATCATGACTAGTATTATTTTAGAAGAAGATGAAATGAAAGCCTACCCCAGTCTCCCCCAGGTGCTGAGGTCAGCGTGATATCTAGAATGTAAAGATGTGCCAGAGTAGCTAGCCATTTGAGGAAAAGCTGAGTATGTGCGCAGATCCCGATCCCAACCTCCTTCTCACTTACCAGTGGGCAGTCCCCTCAAAATCATCCAGAGAGTTTGTTAAGAACAGATTGCTGGGCTCCTACCCCAGAGATTACCACCCAGCGCATCCATCTTGAGGCTTGAGAATGGGCATCTCTAAGTTCCCAGATGATGTTGACATTGCTGATCCAGGAGGCACACGTTGAGGACCACTGGAACATGGTGTGTTCTGTGCAGTGAGGAGTTAGCTAACTGAGAAAGCAGCTGCCTGCTCACGTTGGACTTAACAAGCACCATGCCTACCAACAGGTAAATCACACCTCATCTCCAGAAGACCAGGAGAAGGTCATGGGTCTTGGATTTGCTTCTAAGCCCCTCTTTCCCTTGCAAGCTATGTGGCTTAGGCTGAGTCAACTGTTTGAAAAGACTGAGCTGCCTACCTATGCTCTGGAGACCAAGCCTCTCTGGCTTTCCTGTGTTTTAGAAACCCCTCCACAAAGGCAAAGCAACACTAAATGTTCAGTGGTCGCTAAGTTCAGCTCTGAGCTAGTTCTCCTCAGGACTTCCCGCTCTCAGCAATACTGGGTACAAAATGAGAACTGGGGAGCTTTAAAAAGAGCTGGACTCCCTCTTTCAGCTGCTAAGCCTGGGTCATGTCTGAAAGCCCTTATTTCCCCCCTCCCTCCCTAGACAGCAAGAGTCCAGGGCTTGGAAAGACTCAGAGGCTCCAAGTGGGAGTTTCATTCGGGAATGGCTTTCCACCTTTGTGTTGAGAGCCTAGCATCTTTTGAAGACTTCCTGCTGGTGGTGATGTGAGCATGGCAGCTGAGGGCTTTGAACCAGGCAGGGGGCAGGTGAGCACATTGTGAGAAATTCACTCTCTTACTCTCCACAGGAACATGGACAAGGCAGGCTAGAGCCTACCACAGGCCAAAGTATTTTGGTTAAACATGCAAATGAATCCTTTTAGGGACAAGAAAATGCCCAATGGCTCAGAATAAAGTTTCCTTATTTCATCCTCTTCTCTTCACAGTAAAGGGAATTGAAGATCAATATGTGTGTTTATCCCTGGTCAAGTGGTAAGAGCTAGGATCAGGAGAAGGAGCCAGAAATAAAGGCAGATTCCATCCCACCCCAAATCCTCCTCCAATAAAGAATGAATTCCTGGCTGTGGGGACAAGAAGCCCCACAAGGTAAATGGGGAACTTTGGCAGAGAGACACTGACTAGAAGCCAAATGCATGGCATAAATCCCTTCCATGTGGACGCTCCCATGTACCAAGGAGGCTGGACTCCAAAATGCAGTCTCAGCTGTTCTTTCCCTGAATTCACAAATGGAGAAATAAAGCACAGGGAATGTGCACGTGGCCAGTCATACAAGGTGGGCAGTGTTCGTTCTCCTAAGGATCTGAGAGTCAGTGCACTCCTTTCACAGATAAAATAAAGATCTGTGTTACCCTTCAGAATTCAGAGATAAACCATGGCCAAGAAAAGCCTTTCCTTGTGGGGATTCCTGAGCCTCTGTCCTTTCCTCTCCATCAAGCAGCCCTTCCTTACTTTGCCCTTAGTCTATAGTCACCAAAAGGGTCCTGTCCAAATGTTAATCCTCTTCTATCCACTCTTTCTCCCACACTGCTCATTCTGGGACTCTTTTACAACATTGTCCCAATGGCAGGAGCAGGAGACTCCCACTGGACACCATCCAGAACCCACCAAGCTCTAGGAAGTGTATGGATGGGGGAGAGTGTGGAATTGAGGGGCCCCAAGGATTGGCTTGGAGTGAACTGCTTCATTTCTGACCTCTACATGTCTATTTGGGCCCCTTCTCTGCTTCTTCTTAGTTCCCATCATGCTGCTCAGAGCTGTGGCTGGTGAAGCCATCTGACCCACAAGCCAAAAGGTGATGGCTTCTCCTAAGAGAAGAAGGTATCAGTCTCCTTACTGCCTGGCTGGCTGGAATGGCAGCATCCAGGTCATGAAGATCAGGCTTTGGGATGTGAGAAGGGAGGAGGAAAAGACAGGGAAATG